GACTTTTGTAAAGCTTGCCAAGACGCATCTAATGGTGGTTAGAGCATCAAAATCGGCTTGGTGGGTGCCAAGATATCTTTAAAAAATGTTTCTTTTACTATATAAACTTCTTTGCAAATAGTAGTATTGTTTGCAAAGAAGTTTACATAGTAAAAGAAACGTTTTTTAAAGATACCTCAGCACCCACCAAGCCGATTTTGACGCTCTAACCACCATTTACAAAAGTCTCTTAAGTTAGAAAAGTAATTAACTTAATATAAAAAAAAGTTTTAGATATATGCATGCCACATTTGAGCCAATAGTAAATTTTATTTATAAAATTTTGCAGATTCTCTCTAGATGACAAATAGATTATCAATTAAACCAATTAACTGACTAGTCGACTAGTTGATATATAAAAATGGCTTGGAGCTATTAATTACAAGATCAAAGTATGATATATACTATATAAAACAACTAGTCGATTAGTCAACTAATCAATTAACTAACTAGTCAATTAGTCAGTTAATCGATTAATCATCGATAATCAATTAGTTGTCTAATAAAACTATCAATCGATTAATTGCCAATTCAATTAATTAATCAATTAATAGATTTTTGATTTGGAACACTATAGCAGATCCAAACTATGACTAGTGACTTGAAATTAAAATTTGCATTTAGAGTTATAATTAGAGTCATTAGGGACCCTAATTATAACTTTGAATACAAATTTTAATTTCAGGTTACTAGTTTAGAAATTGGACCCGTTGAAAAAATCTCTATCTGAATATTATTAAATTACTCAGGTTATCCAGATAATTTATTATGATCATATATTAACAATTTCTACTTGGATCCAATCTCTAATTAGAGTTGGTAGAAAAATAACTATAATAAAATTTTGCAAGAAATTTTTTTTATCAGAACATAAAAGGCTGCAAAATTATTGAGTTATTACAATCATTTGAAAAATATCGACAAATTTTGTTATATTTGGTTATATATAAAAGTTTCTTTTTTTGGCATGAGTGTCGGGATTTTAAGTGTTATTGAAATTTTTTGTGCATTGAGATTTGAAGTATCAGAATTTTGAGTATCAATAAGATTTTGTTTTCAGGATTTGTAAATCAAGATTTCATGTACTGTAAATTCTTGAAATAGCTGGCAGGGGCATTATTTTGAAAATCACACCTCCTAAAAATAGTATAGGTAGTTTCGAAATAATGCCTATATGTATCCCGAAATAGCACGCACCTAGAAGAGCAAGATCAGATAAATATTAGGCCTAACATGTACCTCATTAGTTGAAAACTAAAAATTTGACTAAAGCGAATTTTAATAAAATTTGGCACCAATTCGACTTGAGAGTTTAAAATTCGACTATTAAGTATTCGACATGGTCGAATTATTGGTATATTTGATCTAATTTTGTCAGAAATTTAATGGTCGAATTTTTTAAAATTTGACCTAGGCAAAGTTTGAAAGAATTCAATTTAAAATTAGCCAGAAATTCGGTGTTCGAATTTTTCAAAATTCGCCCAGGCTGAATTTTGAAAAAAAATTCGATCTAAAATTAGCTAGAAATTTGGTGTTTGAATTTTTTTAAAATTCAACCAGGTGAATTTTTAAAAAATTCAAACTTAAAATAGCCAGAAATTCAATGGTTGAATTTTTTAAAATTCGACCTGGGCAAAGTTTGAAAAAATTTAATTTAAAATTAACTAGAAATTCGATGTTCGAATTTTTTAAAATTTGACTAGGTGAATTTTTAAAAAATTTGAACTTAAAATAGCTAGAAATTCAATGGTCGAATTTTTCACTGAATTTTAAAAAAATTTGACCATTGAATTTCTGGCTATTTTAAGTTCAAAATTCGCCTAGTCGAATTTTAAAAAATTCAAACACCGAATTTCTAGCTAATTTTAGATCGAATTTTTTTAACTTCACCCAGGTTGAATTTTAAAAAATTTGACTATTGAATTTTTGGCTATTTTAAGTTCAAATTTTTTAAAAATTTGCCTAGTCGAATTTTAAAAAAATTTAAATACCGAATTTCTAGCTAATTTTAGATCAAATTTTTTTAAACTTCACCCAAGTCAAATTTTAAAAAATTTGACCATTGAATTTTTGGCTATTTTAAGTTCAAATTTTTTAAAAATTTGCCTGGTCGAATTTTAAAAAAATTCGAACACCGAATTTCTAGCTAATTTTAGATCGAATTTTTTTAAACTTCACCCAGGTCGAATTTTAAAAAATTTGACCATTGAATTTCTAGCTTTTTTAAGTTTAAATTTTTTAAAAATTTGTCTGGTCAAATTTTAAAAAAATTCGAACACCGAATTTCTAGCTAATTTTAGATCAAATTTTTTTTCAAAATTTAGATGAAAATATGTATGCCCAAGAAAATTTAATTACATGATTACTAAAGTTTTTGCTGTTCAGAAGAACAGTTAGACCAGACCAATTTAATTCAGTTGGACTTAACTAAGAGTGAACTTTGAATGAATCTAAAATAAACTATAAATTTTTGATAATCGAATTTTAATAAAATTTGATCTAACTGAATTGTACCTAAACAAATTTTAATCTGACCAAGTTCAGTAGACAAATTTTAACAAAATTCGATCTGGCTAAATTGTTACTAAATTCAACATATATAAATTCAATTAGATCGAAAAAACCTATTATATATCTAGCTGAATAATACAATACAAAAATTCGATATAAAATTGATGTACTAAATTACATATAAATTTTTTTATTAATTGGTATAATAGCAATATATTCTTTTGAACTTTTTTTGTGTACTAATTTATAAGGTCCAGACAAAAATTTGGTGAATTGGTATTAAACAATTACAACTAATCAGAAAAAAGTCTTTAGTCCAAAGTTTAACATTGTATAATCGACCTTCTTCCTCATTCATTCCGAAATAGAGTCTTGTTAAACTATTAGATGCTGGTTTATACCAACGCACAAATGCTAGATTATGTTTGAGTTGGCTATTATTCATATCAATTGTATGCTAAATAAAATATTGTATTTGGCCAACATATGTATTATAAGAAACTCTATCTTGATTAATAAATTCAGCCATAATAAATGAGCTTCTTATATACCAAATTGATATAGTTGATCCAAATATTTCTGAACCAATTCACAAATGGCCAAATTGGTCTCCAAATGGATAAATTAATATTGAATTTTCATCTCTAATACCACTAATAGTATATAAAATGAATGTTCAGGATAGGCAGCCGAATAATACTCTAATAATAAATTTGACATTTCATCAAATATAACTATATGAATTTTTGAGGGACTCAAAAATTCTCTGGAAAAATCTTCAACACCACTAGCTGAAATTGTTTCAATGCTTCTTGATATTAGAAGAAATCTTTGTAATTCATCAGTTTCAAACTGGTCTGATGATGCTAAACTTCTAATTGTTTTTTTTACTAAAAGTAATTCAAGCCCTTTTATAGTACCAGTTTGGTTAATTAGATCATTAACCATACAGTCTTGCATAAGCCAACACATTAATTTTAGTTTAATTTTTCTATGACTATTTGGAAGTGAATTAAAATAGCCATTCATCTGCTCAAATGAGAAACACCAGAATGAATAAAGTGGTCCATAATCAAGGCAGCATTGAGTAATATAGAGTGCTGGATGAAGATTTGGTGTAATATATTTTTTACCATATCCTTCTTCAATTTGCTTAATAAGAAGAATAAACCGATTATGTGCCTCTTCTAATACAGTTATATCAATAATTCGGCAAACCAGAATTGTACAAATTTATACAAAATTTGTAAGAATTCTTTGATTTGATGCCGAAAGAAAATCCCACAGGCAAGGTGTTACATAAATTAAAATAAATGTTCTCCATTCATCGGCAGTGAAATTAGCAAACTCCTCACCACAGTCAACCTTTCTTGGAATTCGGCCAATGTTAAATGAAACCTGAATTTCTGACATTTTAATTTGAATTTGCCTTAATTGGTTGATACTTAATATTCCATTATCAACCCATAATCACTTTATAATCCATTTTGCAATACCTAAAAATAGGCAATGCATTAGATCAATAGCCAAAAACTGAATAGGATTAAATATGATAATCGAATTAACTCAGACCACCGAACATGAGTAAGTTTTTCATGTTGTTTTTTGCCTGATTTAGTATAGCATCTTCTCCATTGCTCAGCATCTTGTTGATGCTAAGCTAAGTCACGTTTAATAAACCAAGTGTCAATATCATCTATGCCTCCATAATGATGATGTCTATCCTCATGTTGTGCTTTTTTTTCATATTGATAACAGGCTGCTAATGCTGAGGTATAGCCACAAAGCTTTCGAGCTGCAAGTATATCACATGAACATAAAATTAATGCCGCTCGAATTGTCTTTTCAGATGGGTTCTCATAAGTTGAAATTTGAACACCATCCTAAAATCGGAGTAACTCATCAACAACTGGTGCAAGATAGTGGTTAATGTGGTGTAAATGAACTTCATTTGGACCTGGTAAAATGCCAAGAACTAACATGTTTTCAGCTTTAAATCGAATATCTCTTGGTAAATTAGAAATAGCTATATAAATTACACCAGTGCTATACTGGGTTCCATTGAATAGCTGAAACTAGTCCAAATTTAATATAAATTCAAGATGTGTATTAGCTGATTCTTGTATAAAAAATTGACCCCCAATTGATTCTTTATTAGCAAATTTTTTCCAAACTTGACCATCATAAATATCAAAAAGAATGCCTTTAAGAATATTACGATGAGTCCATTTTCTACATAATTGTTCAAAATTAGAACACATATATATTTTTGCAAGTTGACTTTTGATACTTGCAAGAGAATAAAGTAAAATTGGCTTATTAATAGTGCCACTTAGATATCAATTTTGTGTTGCTAAGGCTAAATTATATATAACTATTTGCCTAGATCCAATTATATTCAGAAATTCAACATGGTTACATTTTTTTACTGATAATTGTCCATTATTATCTCATGAATCAACAACCTCTTTTTCAGTATATAGTTTGTTACATTTTAGATATACTGAATATGTTATAAAGTTACCGATTTTAAGATGTTTTCGAAGCATATACATTAAGGTTAAAAAATCTTTAAAAAGATTTTCATCACCAAACTTACATAATAGTTGACGAATATATTTAATTAAAATTTCAGTAGCTGTTTCAGGAACTTTAAAATCACTTTGAAATTTTAATAGCCAAATTAATATATCATCAAAACTAGATAGTATTCTAAGTCTAGGTTGAAATTCATTTTCATAATCAATGTTTGGTGCTGAATAATCTTCAAATTCATTAATATTGCTATATCGAATACCTTCGGCCAATTCTTCTTCAGATGATAAATCATCATCATCATTATTATTATCGTAATCCAATACAATATTATTATCACTACTTTCATCTGCCGAAATGATAACTTGTTCTTTTACATTTAAAATATTTATTTTAGCACTTGATGTTTGTTGGCGTTTTTTTGGTAAAAACGATAAGTTATCTATATCAAGGCTAGGTAAAAGTTCATTATCATCTCTTTCTATATCTGACAACGAATTAATTGTTGTTATTGATTGTTGGCTTAGGCCACTTAATTGACTTAGACTAGTAATGCTACAGAAATTGATTTTCAAAAAAGGCCTATTTCGTCTCTATTAGTGCAAATTAAAATTTTTTATAAGAAAGAGTATATATTTATACTCCTTATAATTTCATCTATTCAAAAAAAGTGTCAAAAAATTTCGTCTTTTAAGTAAAATAAGTCAAACAATTTCATTTTCAAATTTTAATTTCAGGTTTTAAAACCTGAAATAATCTCGTCGGTATGTATAACTTAGACTACTTAATTCTTTAGATAAAGCTGGTTGTCTTATCTCATTTAAATCTGTTTGAGATGATTGTTGGCTAGTAGTTAAAGAGTGTTGCTTTTTTGTACGAGGATTAACAAACTTGCCTTTACACTTTGGGCAATTGCATATAACTCTTTTACGTGTTCTATAGATCAAAGTAGGTAATGGTTTAGAAGTCGAAATAGAAGATTTAGATTGATGGGATGAATCTTGGCCGATAGTTTTTAAAATATCTTTTGCACTTTGTTTTCGAGACATTTTTAATAAATTATGAATAATATTATAAGCTATTGTAAGCTAAAATTTATTTCTTTATACAATTAGTACTATTTATAAGAAA